AGTCGTTGGCTGTTATCCAATGCCCACACAGTAAAGCTTGGAGACGTTAGTTATCAGTTAACGCTCCGTATTCAGAAAGAAACAGTGGTGGTAATATTCGAGCATACCAATTAGTCGAGAAGATAACACTCCATTCGATAAAACAGGATAGAGGTACTGAGAAGGGATGAGAGGCACCTCTCACTCGGATGGAGTGTGGTACATGCTACCGCTCAGTACTAGTGTTGACGAGATAACTCTCTAATCGACTTAATCAGGATAAAAGTACTGAGACAGGATGAGAGGCACCTCCCATTCGGATGGAGTGTGGTACATGCTACCGCTCAGCACTTACAAGTTAAGCACAAGTACCAACACAAGTACAGGTCAATCAAGTGCAAGCGAGTACAAGATCGTTCAAGAAGGGAGGCCGAGCGCGATAAGGACATACTCGCCTAGCCAGAATCATGTCACAAGTAATGTCCAGTAATTCACATTCTCTAGTATTCCAAGTATATATACAGGTCAGGTACAGATCAGGTTACTTGTTTATGCGTGAAGGAGATATCAAGTGTCTAGTCAGGTAGGGTCAATTGAGTGCACATAAGAGCACACTCGCCTAAACATGATCATGTCACAAATAAGTTCAGCATATCATGTTTCAAGCATTTCAAGTATTTCAAGTCCAAACAGCTGAAAATCAGGTGGTTAAGAACCCTAATCAAATAAGAAAACTGGAAGAAAGCTTCAGAAATCAGAAATTTTCTCAGCAAATCCGTCCAGAAATTGGCCAGATTCTTTCCACTTTTCAGTTGTACCAAACGGCTAACACATGTTTTTAATAAAATCTCACAAATTTAGTCGAGATAGGTCAAGTACGATAAAGTACACACTTGCCTGTGGGACAAAAAATCAAGTACCTAGCATTGTCTAACAACAATGAGCATGTAACACGTAAGTCGGTGGGATAACCACCCAAATGACCAACAAGTCAAGTGCAAGCAAAGCATTTCATTTCACATCAATATCACGAAGTGAACTACGAAGGATCGAGTATGATAAAGTATTTCTCGTCCCAAAGGTTATCAATTCAAGAGCAATTATTTTAACCAAGTAAGCATGTTATTCAAGCAAGGAGACATTCCACGTAAATATTTTCATGTACTTGGAACACTCACCTGTTAAGAAATACAGAGCTTAATCTTCAAGTTCTGCGGTTAACCTCACCTCCGTTTCCCAATCCCAGGGCAAAGAGTGAAAGTTGTTAATGATCTAGGTTCAATTCCAATCCAAATGTGAGCTCATTAGGTGACCAAGTGAGTGGTTAAATCTACTCAATTCACCATGCAAGTTAGGCTCAAAATGCAGTAAAAAGTCATAAGAAAACAAGTTTGACAAGTGCAAGAAAGTTGAGCAAAAGAAAAATCTCACTCAAGTTCAAAGTGGTCTTCGCGGGTAAAACAGTCTCGTCTGCGCAGTCTCAGGAAAACGACCATATCTCACTATAAGAAGGTCAGAATCAGGTGCCGTTAGTGGCGTTGGAAACTAGACTCAAAGAGTTTCCAACGGTACCAAATACACACTCTAGTTCCTCTCCTATCAATACCAGTAGTTTGGGAAAGTTGGCTAATTTTCAGGTTCTGATAAACTCAAAACCCTATCTGCATTTACTCTATTTCCTCTTGCCAACTTCACTTGTTTTGGCTCAAATTCGTCCGATTCAACATTCTAAAGTTCATATACGGGGGATCATGTTACCTAGTACCATTGGAGGTCAAAATGCAACACACATAATGATCAAGTGAACCAAAACAGTCTAACCAACAACAAGAACCAAAACAGTCCACTAGTTGTCCAAAACCACCACTTTTAATTGCTTCATTTCCATCTCAACCCACACATAAACTTAACCAATGTTTAGCCAAGTCTCTTAGGCTTAATTAGGGTGCAAATGAACTACAAAATCAAGAAGAAACCTCCCCCTTCCAAAACCGGTCAGCCAAGGGAAAGGAAAACAGTCCACTAGTTCACTTGTTTCACCAACTTTCATCCTTTCATGAAGACTAACTTAAACATCATACCAAGTGTTATCCTTAACTCAAAAAGGATCCAAAACATATTAATACATCAAATAAATCATAAACAAAGCTTTAACAATTAATCAAACACATGGTAGGCTAACTAACCAACTCAACTACCACTTAATTAGTTTAAGAAATTTTGCCACAAGTAACATCCATACAACTTCTAGATTACCCTCAAAGCTTTAAATATTTGATATAACACCATAAAAACAAGGATTAAGGATCATATATCTCTCTTGTAAGAAGCTTGAGTCACTCAAAACAACCACCAAACCAAAACCTTCAAGCTTGAAAATCAGACACTAGGGTTGGAAGTAGTTCACTCACTAACTCAAATCCTTCACTTTTGATTTTTCTCTGAAGATCAAACTAGGTTTAGAAAGCATAAAAATGGAGTTTTCTCTCCTTCTCTTGGAAGCTAAGAGGGCCGGCCAGAGTGAAGAAAAATGGAGCCAAGAATCGTTTAAAATTTCCTCTAGTTTCTTTGGTCAAAGGTTAGATGGTTATAGGGTTTGGCCACTTGTCTCAATCTTGTCCATTCTCTCTCTAATCTTTGTCAAATCATATTTCTATCCTCTAAATGTTTCCATTGTCTTACTAACACCCCTAAACTATCATATAAAGTCCTAACCACAAATAAAAGGATATTTGGTCATAGAGTATATGGTGAAATAAAATAATACCAAGTCAAGAAAATGTTTTAATTCAAATAAAAGGTAATGAAATGCAATACAAACGAATTGTTATAATGCATGTAGAATGCAATGCAAGGACATAATTTAAGTAATTTAATCATAGGGTAAGGCAAGTGATTTAGGTAAAATTTTGTTTTTAAGTGAGGGTTCTCACAATTTTAGCCATATAGCTTCTCAATATCCCAACCAGAGGACCATGATCATGCTATCGAATGGTGAGATGTTGATTGATGAAGAAGATGGCAATAATGAATCTGACTATGAGGGAATGCCACCTTATTGAAGGAGAAAATGAGGAGGAAGCCAAATAGGTTCCAACTGGAACCGTGGGAGTCACAATGGTGGCAAGGCGTGCCCAGACTACTCAAGCTAGTCAAGAGGAATTACAACATGAAAACATCTTTTATACGCGTTGTCAATTCCGAAATAAAGTATGCAACCTTGTGATTGATCCTGAAAGCTGCACATATATTGTTAGTGCCTTGATGATGGAATGGTTGAGTTTGCCAATAAGTGATCATCCACGATGTAAGGATCGAAGACAACCTAAGAGGGGGGGTGTATTAGGTAGTTTAAAAACTGGCCAAGTTGTGAGTCACTTTTTGATTACTTGCCCTCTTTTTCTAAAAGATCACACAATGGAGCAATTGATGAGAAAGCACAAGTGCTTGTGAGTAGAAGAGATGAACAATTTATATATCAAGACAGTAAGTAAAAGAGATAGAGTATCAAACCAAATACCAAACTCCTCTTGAGTTTGAATATCACTTTAGAGAGCAAGCTTCTTCAAGTTGATCAACTTACAACCAATCTCTTGTGTACAAGGGAAGGATCATTTCTTTCTTGCCCCAAGCCACTCTTGGTCAAGCAAGGAAGTTTTACTATCACTCGGATAACTCTCACAGATCTACACTATTGAAGTAAATGAATCATACTAGAAAAGCTTATCGAAAATTATACAACTAAGAGTACAAATCCTCTTTGAAGAGTATTTTACCACTAAAATCACTCTTGATCTGATGTAGTCTCAATGTGCAAAGTTACTTTGAAGTAGTTGACTTTGTTCTATTTATATGGGACTAAAAAGTTCCTCAATTAATGTTTTCAACGGATAGCAGGCAGCTGAAGAGTCAACTAGCCATTGGTAGTGTCGGACGTCCGGTAAACCAACTTCTTGCGTCCGAACGTAGGCAGTGGGTTCAAGAAATTTTCTTGAATTATTTCGGACATCCGGTACCTTCAATCTATGCGTTCGAAGATAGGAGGTGAAACTGAGAATTCTTTTTTAATTCTTTTCGGATGTCCAGTGCCTTCAAGGTTTTGCGTCCGAAGTGTCGTAACGCTTGTCGGACGTCTGGTGCTCTGATGATGTGTGTCCGATCAAGATCAGTGAGTTTAGAGGGAATGACTCAATATCTTCGGACGTCCAAGGGTGAAGTTCTTCATGCGTCCGAAGTTGCGCAAAGGTTGTCAGACGTCCGATCCAGTCTTCTTGTGCGTCCGACAGCAGCTTCAGCATTCTTTGTGCTTAATCTTTGAACCTGTTTTGCTCCATTTCTAAAAGGGTCTATTGAGAGAATATTAGTAACATCCATTTGTTTTGTAATCATCAAAACCTACGGACTGAGATAAACAATCTCCCCCTTTTTGATGATGACAAAACAATGGATTGAGAAAAATAATTGAGGCACAAATCCCCCTTATTTGATGCATCCAAAGAGTGGATACTAAAAATGTCCTCTTACATATAGATTACTTGACACTTCCCCTGAGTGGACACTCCCCTTTAGAGTGACTCCCCCTCACGTATAGATTACATATTCATTTCTCCCCCTTTTTGTCATCATTGAATCCATTATCCAATACACATCATTAATATTCCCAGCAATATAAGAAGCCAAAACTATCAACAATTATCAGCAATACTATCAACACTTATCAGCAAAACCAGAAACCAAAACACATTAATAATGGCAATTGTCAACAGTAATCATTCATCCAGTCAATATCAGAAATCAGAGGTCAGACTGAATTAAACAACATTCATCCAAAAACAGGACTAATCCACAAAAGCAACATTTATTCGAAACATAAAAGATAACCAAATAGTTTTATAGACCAGCAGAGGAAGGAAAATAGAATTCTTAATACAGAACACACGAAATGTTTTAAAATGCAAGAGATGCCAACAACCTATTATGAACTACTATTCTAGTCATGAAGTACATTTGCCTAGAAGAGCCTAAATGGTAATCTTTGACGATCCAGGCCTCCTCCTTGCTAGGCCAAACTGAGCAGGATGCACTTCTTCCTCTTCAGTGTCCTCATCATCATCCTCTTCAGTTTCTTTTTCAGTTGCTGGAGTTTTTCCTTTGTCCTGTGGTTGAGAACTGGAGGCACGGTACTCTGGAGTAGTTTCAGTAGTTGGTTTAGTTCTAGGCTCCTTTTGATGTGCATTCTCATTGTCCTAAGGAATGGGAGGCATAAGTAGATTCCTTTTGTCAATGAAGATGTCTTGTTGTTCAGATGACATGGTCATCATCAGACCATCTTCAAGAAATAGGATGTGTTGTTTGAGGTTCTCAAGCAAAGAAATGACCTCAGACTTGGATGAAGTGAACTTAGTGGCTGACTTTCTAGGATGGATAGTAAAGGGTGATACAAACATGGACTGATCTCGAGGAGTTCTAGGGGTAACAGGAGTTTCATGAAAATTCTTTCTCCTAAACTCTGAAACAGTTTCCTTGTAGCACCAGTGACTCTAAAAAAATTTCAGATTTTTCTTTCAAAATAGGCCTTGGAGAAAACAGTTGATGCACTTTCTTTTGGTGATTTTCCAGTAAAGGAAATTTCAAGATGAGCAAAGATAGGAGTCATAAATTTTTCATAGGAAAGTTTTCTACGGCTATCAGTACTGATTTTGAGCAAGAATTTGCACATAACAAAACTAAAATCAATTCTGATTTTTTCATGAAAGCAATAGAACAGGTAAACCTCCATTTTGTTGGCATCAGTCCTATGACCATCAGTAAGGACCAACAGATTCGAAATTATGAAAAAGATGATCAAGTTTTGAGGACTGAGATCCTCCAATCTTGCCTCAACAGGACTATTAAAATGAGTTTGAAAATAGGTCATCAATTTAGCAACATAAAAATGATGATATGTAGAAGGAAATTCTTCATATGAAAAGAAGTTTACAATTTTTTTAAAAACTATTTTCAATTTTGGTTTCTAGAATAGTATTAACAATGTCAGGGTTCAATTCTATGTTAACAGAATTGACACGTGAAACAAGATCAGTGTGTGATCTACCCTTCTTAAGATTGGCAAAGAATTGATGAAGTATGTCAGGATAGTATGTGTTTGGAATGGTCAGAAAATGGGTCCATTTTTTGAATTCAAAAAGCTTAAGAACTGGTTCAAGGTTAAACTTACGAAATTCGTATGGGATGATAGTCCTCTGAGTGATGAAGCCTTTCTGCGAGATCCATTCGAACCTCTCCTTGGCATCATTATCAATGAACTTGGATAAGGGGTAGGTTCCTCTGCAATCTGAGCTTCAGGTTGCTCTTTGGCAGGACGCTTTCTCTTTCCACTGCGTTGATCGGTTGACACAGTATTCTGAACACCAGAACTTGTCCTTGGTGACTTCTTGGTAGAAGGTTCAGCAGTTTGCTGCTCCCCAGCATTTTTCTCTGCAGCCTGCTGTTTCTCACTTTGCTCAACAGAAGGAGTAGCAGTTTGCCTTTCCTTAGTTTGAGCAATCCCCTTCCTTTTAGAGGACCTTTTTCCCTTTTTATTGTGAGATTCCGTCACATTTCTGGGTGTTTTCGTGACGCATGCATGAGCATTGGTGGATTGCTCCAGTTCCTTTTCACTACCACTGACTGGATACTCTTCAGTGATGCTCCTCTATCTGCTCAATAGAGGGTTCAACAGATGGCTCACCAGTTTGAGCATTCTGCTTCTTTTTTGAAGACTGCTTCGTCTTTTCATCACGAGTTCCAGTTCCCTTTCTGGATGATTTGGTGGAAGGTTCGACGACTTGAACGTCTTCATCCTCTTCATCTCTAAGCCTGAAGGTGCGTCCGGCACTGATAGACCCTCATCTAGTTTTCACCATGATGCAATGAAAGATGATATTGTTGCAGAGTATGATGTGAGTATGTAATGAAATAAACTATGAGTGCAGATAAACTACAATGACTGCTTGAATCAACCACAGATAGTGAAAAATTGAGTGGTTAGAGTTTCGGGTGAGAATTGAAATTTATAGTGCAGTTGGCAGTTGGGAGAAGTTATGAGGAGCAATAAACTCGCAATAGAAATGTAACGGTGTTGGTCAGAGCAATTTCTTGGAATTTGTTCCGAAAAGAGATGAATTTGAATTTTGAAAGTGAGAGAATATGAAGAGTTGCATCTGAGACAAAGGATAAAAATGAACTGAACGAAGCAGAGGACTTCCTTATAAGACACAATTTTTGAGTGTCGGATGGCTGAACGAAGTAAAGCGTCCGACACAACTGTCCGAACCAGAATTTTCTAGAAAAATGATCAAAAACACTGTCGGACGTCCGTTCTAACACATCGGACGTCCGATAAAGAGTGATCAGAGAATTTTTAGAATATTTTTTCTGAAACGTCCAATTTTGTTCTCAAAGGCACAAATTGATCTAGTGGTAGGGTTTTTATGAGAATATCAACAATTTGATCTTTTGAGCAGACACATTGAACACACATTTCACCCTTACGGACAAGATCGCGAATGAAATGATATTTTATGTCTATGTGCTTTGCCTTAGAATGTTGAATTGGATTTTTTGTCAAATTTATAGCACTAGTGTTATCACAATACATAGCCACACAATCATACATTAATTCAAAATCATTCAATGTGTTTTTCATCAACAATAATTGAGTACAACAAGCTCCGGCGGTAACATATTCCGCTTCGGTTGTAGACAAGGAAATAGCATTTTACTTCTTACTAAACCAAGATACTAAACAATTTTTAAGAAAGTTACATATACCCGTTGTACTTTTTCTATCTATCCTACAACTATCAAAATCAGCATCCGAGAATCCGTATAAAGGAAATTCATGACACTTAGGATACCATAGGCCAAAATTCAAAATTCCTTTTAAGTATCTAAGAATTCTTTTTACCGCATTCAAGTGAGATTCCTTTGGACAAGACTGAAAATGAGCACACAAGCACACAACAAACATGATATCGGGTCTACTAGCAGTTAAGTAAAGCAAACTACCAATCATATCTCTATACTTCTTTTCATCAACTTTTGTACCTTTTTCATCTTTGCCAAACTTGGTAGATGTGCACATAGGTGTTCCAACTTGCTTTGACTCTTCCATTCCAAACCTTTTGAGCAGCTCCTTGGTGTATGTTGCTTGATTAATGAACGTTCCTTCTCAGGTTTGAACTACTTGGAGTCCAAGGAAGAAATTTAATTCTCCCATCATGCTCATCTCAAACTCTTTTTGCATAATTGTGAAAAAATCCTTGTACAGGCTCTCATTAGTAGCACCAAATATAATATCATCCACATATATTTGCACTATCAAAAGATCATGTGAATTTTGTTTAGTGAAAATAATAGTATCTACAATACCTTTTTTAAACCATTTTCAATCAAAAAACCACTTAAACGTTCATACCATACCCTTGGACCTTGTTTTAATCCATATAAATCTTTTGAGAGTTTGAACACATGATTGGGATAAATCTCATTTTCAAAATCAGGAGGTTGATCAACATATACTTCTTGATCAATAAAGCCATTTAAGAAAGCACTTTTAACATCCATGTGAAATAATTTAAAATCCTTGAAACATGCAAAGACAAAAAACATCCTAATTGATTCTAACCTAGTTACGGGTGCAAATGTTTCATCAAAATTTATACTTTCTTCTTGCGCATATCCCTTAGGTACAAGTCTGGCCTTGTTCCTTACTATCTCACCTTTGTCATTCAATTTGTTTCTAAACACCCACTTTGTGCCAATGATAGGATAATCTTGAAGTCTTTCAACTAATGTCCAAACCTTGTTTCTTTCAAATTGATTTAGTTCCTCTTCCATAACTAAAATTCAATTTTTATCTTTCAAGGCATCAACAACATTTCTGGGTTCAAAATGAGAGACTAATGCAAAATTATCTATCAATTGTTTAGAGGAGGAACGAGTTCTGACCTTCTCGGATGGATCACCAATGATGAGCTACTTAGGATGATTTTGAACAAATTTTCAGTCTATTGGAAGATCGTTAGGTGTATAGACATTTTTGTCATTGTCTTCCAGTGCTGGACTGTCTTGAGAATCATCTTCCTTTGAGTCATTTTCTGGTGAAGCAGTGTCTAGGTCATTGATTGTGAGCTTCTTTAGTCCTTCTTGAACATCTGCATCATCATCTTTACCACAACTTTTGGAAATATCACCATTAGATTCATCAAAAGTCATATGTATAGCTTCCTCTATAACCAGAGTCCTTCGATTGTAAACTCTAAAACCTCTCTTATTCTCACAATACCCCGAGAAAATTCCTTTATCAGATTTTTTATCAAACTTACAAAGATGTTCTTTGATGTTTAAAATAAAATACTTGCAACAAAAAACTTTGAAATATCCAACAACAGGCTTTTTATCAAACATCAACTCATAAGAGGTTTTGTTCAAGATTGGTCTTAAAAGAATTCTATTCATAGTATAGCAAGCTGTATTTATGGCTTCAATCCAAAAATATTTTGGCAAATTGCACTCACTTAACATGGTTCTAGTAGGCTCTTGAAGTGTTCTATTCTTTCTTTCGACAACCCCATTTTGTTGGAAAACTCTTGCAATTGAAAATTCATGTATAATTTCATTGTTATCATAAAATTCTGGAAAGTCACAAAAATGAAATTCTGAGCCATTGTCACTTCTGATCTTGATGATTTTCAACCCAATCAGATTTTGAACCTTTGCAAATAATGAAACAAAGTTTTTGAAAGCATCATCTTTGCGTGCAAGAAACATCACCCAAGTGTATCTAGAATAATCATCAACAACAACAAGGCAATATCTTTTGCCACCTAAATTAGTAGTTTGTGTAGGACCAAATAAATCAAGATGTAGGAGTTTCAAAGGTTTTGTGGTAGAAACACATTTCTTGGGTTTAAAAGAAATTTTGACTTGTTTTCCAAATTGACAAGCATCACAGATTTTATCCTTTTCAAATTTGATTTTTGGCAACCCTCTAACAAGTTCCTTTTTGGAAATTTCTTTTAGCAAATCCATGTTGAAATGACAAAGTCTTCTATGCCACAACCAAGAGCCTTCATTTGCAATTTTAAGACATTTAAGACTAGAAGAATCAAGATTTTCCAAAATAACTACGTAAATGTCATTAATTCATTTTCCTTTGAAAATAGTGTTGAACTTTGAGTCAAGAACAAGACATTCATGCTTTTTAAATAACACAACCAGATTTCTATCACACAATTGACTAATACTTAACAAGTTATAGCTCAGATTGTCAACTAAAAGAACATTGTGAACAAAGGTTTGACCATTCTTACCAACATTACTAATTCCAACAGTTTTGGCTTTGTTATCGTTTCCAAAAGTTACTTTTTCGCTTGCTTTTGGCTTGAGTTTGATAAATTGTGATGGATCACTAGTCATATGCCTTGAGCATCCACTATCTATGAACCATTTTGATTCCTTGATAACATTCACCAAGTTCACCTACACAAAAGTTTACACGATAATATTTGGTACCCTTTATTTTTTGGGTCCTTAAAAGTTAGCATTATGTTTAACTATCCACATGCATTTCATACCATTTCTCATATTCTTTCTTACATAACATTTACTTTTCATGTGACCAATTTGACAACAAAAGCTGCACATAGTCAGTGAGTTGCTTGCATGGACAGGTTTAACAAATTTGATTTGCCTTATCTTATAAATGGTAAATTCATTTGCACTAGAATTCAATCTTTTCTCATGAATGTCAAAAAGAGGTTTTGTATCATTCCTTTGAAAGCAGTTTTGTTTTTTATGTTGAAGCAACTGATTAAGATCATCCATTCTTCTTTTCAAACTCCCTTGTTCATTTTTGAGCATGTCACAGAAGTTTGTTTTTCTATCGAATTCAGCATGTAAATCATTTTCAATCCTTTTCAGGTTTTCATTTTCATTTTTCAGATTCTTATTTTATCGAAAAAGGTTTGCATTATCTTGAATCAGAAAATTGATCTTTTGTTTTAGTTTCTTGTTTCTAACATAGGATTCTTTCAAGTTATTATGCATTCTTTCAAGTTATTATGCATTCTTTCCATAAAAGAATTAACATCATCATCAGATTCATCATCACTATCAGTTTGAGAGTTACAAGCAGTTACCTCTTCATCACCAATGGCCATGAAAGTCATTTGGGCAGATTACTCTTCTTTTTCGACTTCACCTTCTGAGTTGCAGTAATTCCAAGTGATCTGAAAGTTGTTAAACTTTGGTTTTCGTTCAATTTTTCCTTCTTTCTTTTTCTTCATTGGACACTCACTCGCATAGTGTCCAAGTTGGCCACACTCGAAGCATTTATCAGTTTGTTTCTTATTGAACTCTTGCTTCCCTTTGTTTCTTGAGTTGTTGAACTGGTTTGGGGATGAATTGCTAGGTCCTCCTTTTCTGAATCTCCTTTTGTTGAGGATTCTCTTGAAACTTCTTGTGATGAGTGCAATATCACTGTCATCAACTTTCACATCATCTCCATCCAAGGAAGCTGAATCATCTTCATCTTACGAGGCTTTTAAAGTAATACTCTATCTCACCTTTGCATCTTCTTCCTCCTGCACCTTGGACTTGTGTTTCAACTTATAAGAAATTAGAGAATTAATAAGAGATTCAATAGGTATGGAATTTAGATCTCTAGCTTCTTCAATGACAGTCATTTTGTTCTCCCAATCCTTGATAAAGCTTTCAGAATTTTCCTGTTCTTCTCGCCTAGAGAATATTCCTTTTCCAGCACTTTTAAATCTTTAATGAGATCATTGAATCTACAATATATCTTATCAATATTTTCATGAGGTTCTATCTTAAAAGATTCATACTTAGTGATCAGAATAGATTTCTTTTGTTCTCTCACATTCTCACTCCCTTCATGGATTTCTCTGAATTTATCCCAAATCTCTTTTATAGATCTACAGCTTTTGACTCTAATAGATTCATTTGAATCTAGAGCAATGTATAACACATTTATAGCCTTGGCATTCAAAGTGATGTGAGTTCTATCATCACCAGTCAATTCATTTCTAGTTTTTGATCTTAATCTATGAGTGACTTCATCAACAATAGAGGCATCATATGGACCTTCATTGACAATAAATCACAACTCGATATCAATAGATTGTAAAAAGATAATAATCCTTTCCTTCCAACTCACATAATTTGATCCATTGAATATTGGGGGTCTAGTGACGGATTGTCCTTCATAAAACATGACATTGTTGGTTGTCATTTTACTCCAAAACCGATTGAGCTTAATCTCTAGGAGACCAAATTCTGATACCAATTGTAAGGATTGAAAACAATCTAAGAGAGGGGTGAATTAGGTAGTTTAAAAATTGACCAAGTTGTGAGTCACTTTTTGAGTACTTGCCATCTTTTTCTAAAAGATCATACAATGGAGCAATTGATGAGAAAGCACAAGTGCTTGTGAGTAGAAGAGATGAGCAATTTATATATCAAGACAGTAAGTAAAAGAGATAGAGTATCAAATCAAATACCAAACTCCTCTTGAGTTTGAATATCACTTTAGAGAGCAAGTTTCTTCAAGTTGATCAACTTACGACCAATCTCTTGTGTACAAGGGAAGTATCACTTTTTTCTTGCTCCAAGCCACTCTTGGTCAAGCAAGAAAGTTTTACTATCACTCGGATAACCCTCACAAATCTACACTATTGAAGTAAATGAATCACACTAGAAAAGTTTATCGAAAATTACACAACTAAGAGTAGAAATCCTCTTTGAAGAGTATTTTATCACTAAAATCACTCTTGATTTGATGTAGTCTCAATGTGCAAAGTTACATTGAAGTGGTTGATTTTGTTCTATTTATATGGAACCAAAAAGTTTCTCAATTAATGCTTTTAATGGATAGAAGGCAGTTGAAGAGTCAACTAGCCGTTGGTAGTATCGGACGTCCGGTAGACCGACTTCTTGCGTCCGAACGTAGGTAGTGAACTCAAGAAATTTTCTTGAATTATTTCAGACGTCTGGTACCTTCAATCTATGCGTCCGAAGATAGGAGGTGAAACTGAGAATTCTTCTTTAATTTTTTTCGGACGTCTAGTGCCTTCAAGGTTTTGCGTCCGAAATGTCGTAACGCTTGTCGGATGTCCAATGCTCTGATGATGTGTGTCCGATCGAGGTCAGTGAGTTTAGAGAGAATGACTCAATATCTTCGGACATCCGAGGGTGAAGTTCTTCATGCATCTGAAGTTGCGCAAAGGTTGTTGGACGTCCGATCCAGTCTTCTTGTGCGTCCGACAACAGTTTCAGCATTCTTTGTACTTAATCTTTGAACTTGTTTTGCTCCATTTCTGAAAGGGTCTATTGAGAGAATATTAGTAACATCCATTTGTTTTGCAATCATCAAAACCTACGGACTGAGATAAACACACGACCATACAAGTTGCAATGGCTCAACAACAGTGGAGTGGTATGTGTCCATAAACAAGTCCTTGTTACTTTTTCAATTAGTAAATATAAGGATGAAGTTTTATGTGATGTTGTGCCTGTACAAGCTGCATATATTATTCTTGGTCGCCCTTAGCAATTTGATAAGAGGGTGAATTTTGATAGTTTTACCAATAAATACTCATTTGTTCATAGGAATAGAAAGCTAGCACTTGCACCTCTTACACCATAAAAAGTGCATGAAGATCAAACTATCTTACAAAAGGAGTATGAGCAAGAATGTGAGAAAAGAAAAGAGAGTGAAAAAAGAAAGGCCGAAGAGAGAAGGAGAGGCTGGTCGAGAGCAAAATTGAGGGAAAATGGGCTGTACTAGCCTCGGCCAAAGAAATAAAAAACAAGGGGAAACAATTGCTAATTGCAAAGTCTAGAGACGTGTGAAAAGCATTGTTTTCCAATCAACCCCTTTTATTACTCATATGTATAGAGGTTTTGGTCACTAACAATCTTGATGTTCCTTTGCCAAATGTTGTTTTTAGTCTCTTGCAGGAATATCAAGATGTGTTTCCAAAGGAAATTCCTAGTGGTTCACCTTTATTAAGGGGAATTGAGTATCAAATCGATCTTATCCTTGGAGCGTCATTGCCAAATAAACCACCTTATAGGATAAATTCTTGAGGAAACAAAGGAGTTGCAGCGACAAGTAGAGAAACTATTGGAGAAAGGATGGATTTACGAGAGCCTAAGTCCATGCGTTGTGCCTGTTCTACTTGTACCAAAGAAAG